CTAACTTATTTGGTTGCGTAATTTTTCTTCCATTTTTAGACCCCATTAAAATACCCAAATCAGTTATTAAATGGGTCTTATGCACCAAATTAATAATATATAGTTGGAAATGTTTCACCACAAAAAATTCCGGATTTTTAACTTGTCATTTTAGGGGGTAATCGTAGGTCAAAAGGTCATTCGGGACAAAAAATGCACAAAAATGCCTCGTTTTCATGGTGACCTTTGACCCTGTGGGCAAGTACGCTTGTTGTTAAAACTTGCACCATTAATTAATTTATATATGATGATCAGATGTTCCAAATATCAGCTTGGTGTCTTTATCCCTTCATGTTTAAAAAGCGATTTGAAAAAGGGTATATATTTTTCAATTTGTGATAGTATCAGTGCGTAAATGTGATAAAATAAATTTTTGAATAACGATAATATTAAAAATAATCTGCCTAGACCCTTGAAACTTATAATTCTAAAACAACTTTATGTGCTTATTTCAGGCATGCAGTTCGTTAAGGGATATAGGTTTCATTAGTAAGATATGTCCCCCAAACAATGGCCCAAGTGCAAGAATTGCGCAATAAAATTGTATTTACTGTTGATTTCAAATGAGCATAATATTATCCGTGTACTGTCTAGAGCCGTGAAACCTTTTATTCTAGGACAACTTTTTGTGTTGATTTCAGTTATGCAGTCTGATTTCAAATGAGCATAATATTATCTGTGAATGGTCTAGAGCCATGAAACCTTTCATTCTAAGACAACTTTTTCTTATTGCGCAATTTTAGCACTTGGGCCATTTTTGAGGCAAAATATCTTACTAATTAAACAATTTATCCCTTTAACAGACTGCATAACTGAAATCAGCACAAAAAGTTGTCCTAGAATGAAAGGTATCACGGCTCTAGACAGTACACGGATAATATGCTCATTTGAAATCAACAGTAAATACAATTTTATTGCGCAATTCTTGCACTTGGGCCATTTTTGGGGGACATATCTTACTAATGAAATGCTATATCACTTAACGAACTGCATGCCTGAAATAAGCACATAAAGTTGTTTTAGAATTATAAGTTTCAAGGGTCTAGGCAGATTATTTTTAATATTATCGTTATTCAAAAATTAATTTTATCACATTTACGCACTGATACTGTCGCAAATTGAAAAATATACCCCTTTTCAAATCCCTTTTTAAACATGAATGGATAAAGACACCAAGCTGATATTTGGAACATCTGATCATCATATGTAAATTAATTAATGGTGCAAGATTTAACAACAAGCGTACTTGCCCACAGGGTCAAAGGTCACCATGAAAATGAGGCATTTATGTGCATTTTTTGACCCAAATGACCTTTTGACCTACGATTACCCCCTAAAATGATAAGTTAAAAATCCGGAATTTTTTGTGGTGAAACATTTCCAACTATATATTAATAATTTGTTGCATAAGACCCATTTAATAACAGATTTGGGTATTTTAATGGGGTCTAAAAATGGAAGAAAAATTACACAACCAAATAAGTTAGGGTGTTTACGAACCAATATTTTCGTAACGGGGTCCGGTATACCAAAAGTCATGTCATATTCCTGTTCTACAGCCAAATGTTAGTCTAGATATCAATCTGAGACGGTACCCAGCCATGATTTTCTGAAAATTTGTTGAGTTGGCACGGAATGACCCTACTAACAATACTGTACATTTAAATGTATTTTGAAGGTGATTTCCAGAAAATATTTATTATATTATTTAAAATTTTCATTAATTTTTGTTGAACGTACAGTATACATGAAACATTTTGGGGTTACGGTAGAAGCGTTCTCGTTCGCGGCCCTGTTTTAACTAATTCTACCAAATCATCCAGGGGTCCCAAGTTGCCCTCAAGCTTCTCCCAGAAAATAACCACTTTCCCTCAAATTCAAGATGTTTTTAACAACTGAATTAAGGCCTGTTTATACTTCAACGATAATGATAATGATAAAAAAGCTAGAAAGCAATTGTTCATATAGAAAATAAAAGAAGTAAGAGAAGTTTTTACACTAGAACGATTCGATAACGATTTATCAGTTATGCAATAACAAAATATTTTGACAAATCAAAGCAGATGATGTCATAATCATGGAAAAACATTAAAATCGTAGTAGTAGCAACGATTTTATTGTTTTTTCATGATTATGACGTCATCTGATTTGATTTGTTAAAATATTTTGTTATCGTATACACGATAAATTGTTATCTAATCGTTCTAGTGTAAAAACTTCTCTTATTTCTTTTGTTTTCTATATCAACAATCACTTTTTAGCTTTTTTATCGTTATCGTTAAAGTATAAACAGGCCTTTACAGTATCTGTATTATCAATTGTTTCCCAGTGCGAATGAGTACACCATGCACAGCAAAATATAATTGGAAGTGTTAAGATAGCTCATTAAAACAGATCTCCCGAATGTGGGTTCTTCCAACTTGTGACCCCTGCACACCAACCTTATGCTTTTAAAATTAAGCTGCTTTCAATTTTTGCGACGACGCAATGCTAGAACGGAATGCGTAACCGTCCTTCCTGGTGTCCTACGTTCTCGCATATGTAGATTTGGCCAAATTGCGTTCCAGAATCTACTCAACGAGGTGACCTTAACGTTCTCAAATGTGCAGATGACTTTTAGTGACGTCATTACATTCTGCATCCTACCCGACGTCGTACAATGGAAAGCTCCCTATTAAGACTACTCGTTAGAGAAGAAGCAGTCATCAATGTCAATGTACGTGTTATATAATATATGCCTATATCTGCCCACTGCACAGATAAGCAAGACCAGCTTATGTGCAAGGAAATACCCACTGATCTCTACTATAATAGCTGGATTGCTCATTGGCCAATCCTTGTACAGAAAAAAGTGAGGCCTCCGATGCCTTGTTGGAGGGCCTAAGTGACGTACCAGTTTAGACAAGTTTCTTTTGGCATTTATTTAAATTATTGTTAAAAATAACGAGTCTTGCAATACTTTTCAATAATAAATTAAAATTTAACGTGGGAATTTTTTTCAAACCATCTAACACTAGACGCGATTGTTATGCAGTTTAGAAAAGAGTGAGCGGAGTTGCGTTGCTATAGTAACATCGATCCAAACAATGCAAATAACTTCGATTGCGCTTTTTTAAGCTGCATAAAAAGCCACGTCAAGATTAGATGATTTGAAAAATAATCATTTTGTTAAATTCAAATGTATTCTTAAAAAGTTTGAAATTTTTCACAATAGTGTACATGTAATTTAAACAAATGCCAAAAGCAACTTGTCTAAACTGATACGTCACTCAGGCCCTCCAACATGGCGTCGGTGGCCTCACTAAAACCAGCCAATGAGCAGTCCAGTTATTATAGTAGAGATCAGTGGGAAATACCCTCCTACAATAAAACCTGTAATGCACAGAAGAAATAAAACTAAACATCTGGTTTTTGTAAACTTGTATATTGACATGAAAGGAAGTAAGTTAAGTATTTACTAAACAATCTTATTGTACTTGGCTAGAATGAATGAAAATTTGTTCAACTGTGTTTTTTAGTTTTTTGTTTTTTGGGTTTTTTTTGGAGAAAGGCATAAACATTGAATTTTTTTTTGTAATTTTTTTACCATAGAACATTTTATAATATTGCTCATATGGATCAGTTGTCCTTGATAACCATACTTTAACAAATTGATAACTTTACTGGTATAATTATTATCCCAGCTGTACTGGTTAATTTTTAAAACATGCTTTTATATTTGTATTTTTAAATTAATACTTAAACAATTATAATTATTAAATGAAATTCTAAATGTAAATTTACGTAGATTAGATCAATGAAAAATGAACATAGTAATCCTTATGTGTTCATTAATAAGAATAACGTTTTTCAATCTTCTAATTAATTTTATATAGTTTAGTTTCGACCTAGGCAAACCTTGCTAAAAAGGTACACTTTCTCCATCGAAAGGTTTCTTCTAAGAATGGAATGACCTGTTCGAAGCACAAACTCCTGTAGACCAAACCCAGTACCGTTACGATTTTTAATTGTGCGGGAAATCAATTCATAATTCAACTTAATGTAATATATTGTTTATTGAAGAAAATGCTCATTTTGATGTGGTGTTGCTAGGTTATTATATAAAATGAACCTTGTTATCAAATAAAGATAAGCATTAGTGATAGATAGATATATCAGGGATTTATGAAAATAATAGATAAAGTATATAGATAAAACTGTAGAGAACTATAACAATATAAATATCAGTACAATATTGAATTAGTTTGTTTACTTGAATGATTTCTGTCTTCTTGTAATACTCCGATTGTGGTAAGCATAGCAATGGAAAGCACAACAAGTAAACCAGATTTTCGGGAGGGCAATGGACAGTTGAGTTGATCGTATGTCAAATGGAAGAATAATTTTAGTAATTTGCTAGATTAGTGGCTAGTGTAGGGATTTGACCTACACCTCCCCCACTTCGCACTTCATAGTGAATTCGGCTATATTGGTAGAAAATTCTACCCCAGTTGGTGCCAAACTTTCTTGTGGGTTTTGAGCATTCTAAAAATCTCAAATTTGCTTTTTTCTGCAAATTAATAGATCCATAAAACATATTGGAAGACTGTATCATTATGACTGGGACAGGCATTTTTTTCATTTTGTTTCGTTTAAAACGACAGATGAGATCGCGAAGACGAGTAAGAAACGAATAATCTCTATTATATCGTATACCAAAAGCACTTAGCATTTTCTTGGCAACATGAGAAATTATATTGCCAAGGGGTCTAAATAATCCAAAATGTTTTTAGGATTTAAACCTAAACAGTTACAGTTGTAATAATAAACTGAACTATTCTTATATACTCTCTTCAGTTTCGTTTTTAGTACTTTTGTTGATAGGTCTCCGATTTTCTGGCGATGGGGAACATATTTTTGACCATGTCACCAATTTTGTCGGCCATCGCTTAAAACATTTGGCGACGTGCACCATGTTTTTGCCGACCCAAAAAATTAAGTGCTTACAAGTACCAGTACAGTAATCAAGAAAGTTCATAAAAAATTATATATATTAACAGCTACAGTAAAGCCATCTACAGGATGTCTTAAATACATATAAAAATATCTTAATGTCGAAATATTGAATCCAACACTATGGCGTGTATTTCAATACTTGGAGCAAAAATCTACCGATCTTTCAGAATTGAACCTAAACAATGTTCTCCGTCTATCTTGTATTATTACACAATTTGCAACCCGAGAGTTTGGAAGAACAATTGAGTGTCTAAACATGTTTTAAGCTGAGACAACTATACACGTGTATAGTTGTCTCAGGTTTTAAGGTATAGCATGAACTAATTATCCGGAAGGTCCAAAAAGAGTACTCCAAAAAGATGGCGTTGGAAATGGCTGCCGTTTTTCAAATTTTAACGTAACTCTGCAACCAGACAGAAAGTTAGGTATTAAGCTTGTTGGTTATGGCATCTGGGAAATTAAAAAAAAAATTTTTTTTATACATATTACAAACACAACATAATACAAACATAATTAGGCCTATTTGATTTATTCGGTTATACAGTACAATTAATTAAAATATACAACATACAATTACAAAAATATATTTCGAATCATTAACTTTACTTTGCTAAGAGAAAACCTGGATAACTTAAAAAGCTTTAATGAGAAGTAATCTAAGACGAATAAGAACCAGACAGAAAGTTAAGTATAAATTCCGTTGGTTAAGGCATCTGGGAGGTACGTCCTGCATTCAAATATGACTTTGGGGCATATGTTTTTTTACATATCACAAACACACAGCATAATATAAACATAATTATTTGATTTACTGTATTTGGTTATACAATTAAAATATACAACATACATAACAATTACACAAATATTTTTCGAATCATAACATTAAGTTTACTTTGCTAAGAGAAAACCTGAATAACTTTAAAAAGTTTTGATGAGAAGTATCCAAGACAAATTACTGTACTTTATAAAAATCTAATAAACACAGAAAACACAATAGAAATATACTATTTAATAATTGCACAAATTAAAAATTATCCCATTTAAATTGGGCAGTACTGGTAGTATATATAATATGTATACAGTATTTGCATTACTAAGTTAAAGAAAATGGTCATAAGATTGAAAGTTCATAAACAATTATATATATTATTTTTTTAATTTAAAACATCCAACAACTACAGTAAAGCCATCTACAGGATGTCTTAAATACATATAAAAATATTTTTAAAATGCTATACAAATGATTAATTAATTTTAAACATTGTCAAATTGGAATTTGTTTAAATTATGCACTTGCCTTAGTCGCGGAAACTTCAGGTAGCGCACCGACCAATATAGGTGCTTGATTATCATGGGAAAAAAATTGGTAACATTGACAGTAATTGAATCCTTTAGTCTGGGATTGTAAGGCAGGCATATTAACTACAAAACTGTTCAACTCCATTCGTAATAAATCAATATATGCCATGCCAGTTCCCATACGTAATCAGTATAGTAAACACGTCGGATACGCTGGTTCAATGTTGACGAAATGTTACGTCGCTAATTCTATTAGAAAATTATAATTCCTGTTTAAAATGGGATGATATAGTATCAAAAAAGATGATAGGCCTACAATGCATCTTCTTTTTATGTAGATTTTGGCATGGCCTGATGGAGTTTAGTTCTTGCTGGCTTCCTTGTATCTACACCATGTAGAGTGTTTCCATTTTCAATTTCAATTTATTCTATTTGCTTGATTTCATCAATTTCCAAGTCATCTTCTCTCTGTGATACATTCTCGATTGAGTCTTCATAGTCGTATTGTTCACTGGCGCTGCGAAAATAATTAATGTTAATGCATTAACAAAATGTCAGTTGTATAATGAGCTAAACATTTTTCCTGATAGAAGTATTTAGATATAAAATTAAGATGAAAGTTTGTTTACCTTACGTTTACTTCGTTTAATATTTATTTCATTTATTTATTCAACCAGCATTTACAAGACAATAAAATACAATATGTGAAACATTGAAATGCTGGACAGGGGTAACGTAAGCAAAGTACAGTACACCTACACGCTGCTGTAACTCAATATTTTTTTTGTGGGGGTGGGGGGAAGATTCTGGGAGGGTTTTCAACATGCTGTAGCCCCACCTTGTTTACATTTTATCATGTTTTTAAACTTTAAAATAATAACCTGTAGTAAAGTTAGCCTAATTTAAAAATGTTTAACCTGAAAATATTAGTTCATCAACCAGACCCGCGTCACGAGGGGAAACATAATCCTGTGATAGGACACCATACCCCAGTGGGTTTAGGTGGTGACTAATCCATCTGAAATTTGTTGGCGCAGTGTGTGCCTGTTTTTATTCATAATAGGGAGCCTTTGATTTGTTCGACGACGCGACGCTAGAACGGAATCACTCATGCGTGACCGTCCTGCCTGGCGTCCTACGTTCTCTGCATACGTAGATTTTGCCAAATTACGTTCCAGAATCTGCTCGACGAGAAGCTCCTTAGTTCCTCTACAGATTATACTTCTAATCATGGTTCATAAGTAGGTCTATTCACAATAAAAATGTATAATACTTACCGACGAATTACTAGGATAATGAAGAAAATCAAAGCCATCAGAAATGCCGACGCCATTACTATAGAAGCCACAATAGCAGGAAACATTCCAAGTTCTATGCGTAAGATAATCGTAAAAATATATTTTATTAATACCATTATCTATGCAGAATTGTAAATAATAAAAGCACAGGCCCTATATACAGGGTATATAAGGTCTGTGATAAAAGTATTGTCATGATTATGCGTATTATCCTATTAGTATTAGGCCTATTAAGAATTCCATAATTAACACCCGCAAAAATCACGATAAAAGAAGTACACAGAAACATTAGGCGACCAAAAGAAGGATCAAAATTAACATGGACCGCGAAGGTTAAAAATTAAATCGAACACGCAATAGAAAAGGCACAAACACATCCTACGACAGAAACAAATGGCTCAAAGTATTGGTAAGCGTTATGTTACATGACGCATGACGTTACTTCTGTACTAATGATGATGACTTATAGTCATTATATTACATTTTGCATGTATTATTTAATATTTAAGATTGAAAGAACACTTTATTGCCCCATCTTATAATAGGAAATTTGTTTTTCCTTTCCAACAGAAACGGATAAAATTATATGAAAAACCTCAAGACAAAACAACTTGGCAATGACGAGAAATGCGTTAAGATATTAACAATTAAAGTATTGTAGTAAAAAAGTCAATAAAAATCACTGTTTAAAATTGTTTAAAATTTACTATGTCTACCTCAGAGACAAACCAGCCATTTTAGCAAAGAAAAAAATATAAAAATCTAGCATTCTGCTATAAAATTTAAATTGAATATTGCATCTGGAGTAAATGACTTTCTGTATCGGCAAGTATTTGAATTTAGGCCTAGCACTCGTAACCGAAAGCCACTTTTGTTAAAATGTAATTGTATGCAGTGGGTGTGTTTTATCCTTCATTTATTGCACATAATTCCTGCTCCATACGATTATGGTAAAGTTTCATTACTGAATCCAGTTCAATATCTCCTTTAATACATAGTTTTCTCCTCTTAACAATTCGTTCAAACTACTCCTTCTTGTAGTTAAACACCAAAGTTAAATTACCATAGTAGCAAATTAAGTTAAAAATTAGGACACTCTGTATAACTGCTTTGTAAAACAGTGTTAAAATGTTATGATTGACATTGAACTTTGAAAGCTTTCTTAGAAAGTATAGGCGATAATTGGCTTTGCGTACAGTATTTTCACAGTGTACTTTCCACGACAATCTATTGTCGGAGCATAATACAATTTTTTAATTGTTCCTGTTTACGAGATCAATATATATGAGCCGTGACATACTGATGGTTAAACCTTACAGATTTAATAAATAGAGGCGTACCGGTACCTCTATTGGAGCATTCCCCTATATAAAACATTTTAGTGTGTAGGCATCCTCTTGGTTCTAAATATGCTTTTTTTGAACAGAGAATTTTCTTTTAAACTATATTTACGATCAGGGGTGGCGCCAGGATTTGCCCGACGGTGGGGGGGGGGCTCCGACGAGGGGTCAGATTTCCCCGACGAAACCAAAGTGGGCGTGGTCGAGCTTCGATTAAAAGGTTTCAAAAGTGGTCCCGAAAATTTTGACAATTTATGGGTTTCAAATGCTTATTTAATCGATTTTAGAGTCTACTAACATGTAGAAAAATACATATATTTTTTTTCTCCCCGACGAATTGTGCTTTTTCTCCCCGACGGGGTGAGGGGGGAAGCTCTCCCCGACTGGGGGCCTGGCATCCCCCTCCCCTGCAGGCGCCACCCCTGTTTACGATTGCTATTTTATTTATTATTATTTGTTTATCCATGCATAACACACAATATTAACAAACCTACCATCATCTTCTCCAAGTTTTTTTCGGAATGCTGTTAAATCATCTGGAAAGAAAAACAAACATGAAGTGTCAAACAATTTTAAGGCCTATTTATATACAACGAAGAAGAGTGATTCTTAATCTTAAAATAAGGCGTCTTTAAAGAGATTTTTTTTGTGGAGTTTTGTGGAGTCTTTCTTTTGGGAGTGGGAATGAATAACCAGAAACAGTCGAGGAGCGGTTTATGAGAGAGGAGGTATAGGTTCTACATTGAAATATTTGTTATACAATTTTTCTCATTTCTGGACTGAATGAGACTACAACCAATATTGTGTGCTCGACCGAAAAGTCACACCGGTGGAGCTTACAACCTTTCGTTTATAATTAAAATGAGTTTAATGTAGGGGTAGAGCCAGCGGGAGGGGGGCAGCCACCTTCCCCGTCGGAGGAAAAAAATAATTCGTCGGAGAGAAAAAAAATAGGCTTATATGTATTTTTTTAACACTAGTAGACTATAAAATCGCTTCGGTACTCCTAAATTGTCAGTGCCTGGACCACTTCCGAAAAATTTTGAACGACGCCCGACCATGCCCACACTCATGGTATGCTCACTTTGGCTGATCTAAGGACTTCTGTGAGTATTGGTATAATTTATTACATTTACCTATACATTCCGGTAAGTTTCGATTCCATGTTCCATCTTCCCGGCAAGTTAACTTGGAAAATCCGTTCAGTCCGAAATGTTCTTGACAAGTGAAATTAACCGACATACCGACGTAGTAGAACGTTTGCTGAGGAGCAAACGTGCCATTTTGAACTTCACCTGGTGGATCGCATACGGCTACAGAAAAACAAACCATGCCCACACTCTGTAGGTGTCACCGCTGCATGGTATGCTCACTTTGGCTGATCTAAGGACTTCTGTGAGTATTGGTATAATTTATTACATTTACCTATACATTCCGGTAAGTTTCGATTCCATGTTCCATCTTCCCGGCAAGTTAACTTGGAAAATCCGTTCAGTCCGAAATGTTCTTGACAAGTGAAATTAACCGACATACCGACGTAGTAGAACGTTTGCTGAGGAGCAAACGTGCCATTTTGAACTTCACCTGGTGGATCGCATACGGCTACAGAAAAACAAAAAAAAAAAACAACTAAAAAACAATAACCACTCGAATCTTTATCTATAATCTCTGTAATGTAACTATATCTTGGTATCTTTATTAAAAAAAAAAAACGTGCAAAGGCGGTATACAACTGAAATGGAGCACATTTTACAAGAAAAACATCAAACCAGGTACATTAAAAAGGCGTGAAAAACCAAGCAATCATAACCAACACGGTACATACAACAAAATGTGAAATTCAAAATACTTTAACAAATTTAAGAAAGTCGAGGCAATAGAAAACATTTACAAGAAATGGAAAAGCTGCGAGAAGGTCATGAGTATTTCTTTAAATCTGAAGTGCCAACTCAGATTGAATGTAGGGAGATCTGAGTGTCTCTTAAAATAAAATGTTGCCAACACAGATTGAATCTATGAGGAGGTGAGGTTTCTTTTTTAATCCGAGTTACCAACACAGTTTCAATGTGAGGAGCTCATGATGATTCCTTTAAAACTGATGTTGCCAACAAAGATTGAATCTTGTTAGGTTTCTTTTTGAATCTGAGTTGCCAACACAGATTCAATGTTATGTTATGAGCTCTTGATAATTCCTTTAAAACTGAGGTTGCCAACACAGACTCAATGTGAGGAGCTCATGATGATTCTATAAAACTGAGGTTACCAACACATTCAATCTTTGCTAATCGTGAAAAGTTATCAATACAAATTGAATGCGAGAGGTCGTAGTAAATCTTTTAAATCTAAAGTGCCGAGTCAGATTGAAAGTGAGAAGATCGTAGAAGAGTTTATTTAAATCTTAATTAATTGATTAATTGATTGATTGATTGATTGATTGATTGCTTAATTATTTTATTTTTTTTATGTTGTAAATTTGACGAGCAATTACTTTCAATTTCAATTCAATTTAATGTGACATTAACACGTTCTTATCTTATCTTTTATACTACGAAGTATTAATACTTGTTTGTTTCATTGGTCATAGGCCTACGTACGTTTGCATTCTATCTTTGGTCCATCCCATCTGCAGTTTTCTTTACATATGATTTTCTCTGTTTCACCAAATTGCGATCGGTAACCTGGGGCGCAAGAGATATAAACATGTTCATTTGGCGCGTAATCATCTCTGTCGGGATGTATCAACACGTTGGCTGCCTGTATTGGCCGAGCACAGTTACCTGCAAAGATGTTGTTTATGTTAGTACAAAGCGCTTGCAAATTTCATTGGGAGTGGGGTGTAGGAGGAAGAAAAAGGAAAGATAGAGGAGAAGGATGAAGAACTGAAAAGAAAATAATAGCAGCTAATGTTCTTCTAATTTGGTTCCGATTCCATAATCCATCGAGAAAAAATGTAGGAAGGAAATGGTCTCAGAACCCCTTAAAATAACATTACTAGAAGAAGAATTGGATAATCTTAAATGTGGAAGTTAAAAAATTGAAAAGAAAATAATAGTGCGAATGAGATTTGTATGAATGATTATGAATCTGCTGGTATAAGATACATTTTCTCCATCATAAGCTCATGTATGGTATTACGGGCGGTGGTATTATGGTTGATTTTTGTCTGCTTGAGCGTGATGTTTTGCTTTGAACATTTTTAATTGGGAGACTGGGGGACGCGAGTTTCTTTAGGCGGAGTGGACCCCTCCCCCAGATGCGCCACTGCAAATTAGTAGGCTTATATATCTTAAAACGCCCTCGATAAAATAAGACTGCTTACTTACTTCTGCAGATGAGACCGGCCCGGCGTTGATCGCCCTCTGCGCAAGAAGTGTTATCAAGCTTGGATACACATTCGTCTAGTGACAATTCATGGCCGTAACAAATATAAAATCGCACGTTTATCGGTAGCGAAGCAGCAATACTAGTACGATATTTGGTCTCTGCTAATGCAACTTGTGCTGGACACGAAAACAGTTGATTACAAGCTACATTTGCTTCAGATATATTCCACGTTAATGGACACACTGTTCCCCATTTTTTGTTGAGTTGATTGCCAGGTAGATATTTTTCCAGCAAGCCACTTCTAGGACCGACCGTATTTCTTGTTACGCGTATATCTTGAAATAAATAAAAAGAATATATAACATGATATTATTGGCCAGTATGATAAATTATGTAGGCTTGTTTATAAAATGAGTATGCAAGTTATTCCCTATACTCTTTAGTTATACTCATTTTATAATACTAAATAATATAATTTAAATAAATGAATGCATACCGGTATATTATGTTATGTTCAACCATCAAATAAAATGTTACACAAGTTATTTGTTTTCCTTGATAATGACGTAAGTGAACGGTGCAAGTATTATAACCTATAACATCTATGTTTATGTAATAACTGTAACTTTCTCTGGAATCAAATAATTAGTTATACGGAAATGATAGGCCTATATTTGTATTTATCGTTAGGTCTAATTTTTTTTTTTTTTGGTAACATTTTTAACGAAATCGTTTTGCTTCAGTTTCACAGGGATGACAGACCCTGAACCAAAAATAATATGAGCCTATGCCCCTTACCTTGGCAATGTACTCTAGCAACTTCGTTACATGAATCTCCATTTGTGGTACTTGGTTCTCGATCTATGAGGTTCATACAATTTTCACATGTACTGCAACCCTTCTTCATACATATCCAGTCAATGACTGCCAATTTCTTGGATGTACCGTCCCCAGCCGGCTCGGACCACACGTTCCTTGCGTAGCTCCCGATATGATTATGTCGCATACAAACTTCGTGGGCACCTTCTTTTGACCATATCTTCCCGCAGATAGAATACCATTCTCCGCGATATTTTACCCTAACTAGCGAATTCAGATCCGGAAAACTTTCCAAACAGAATAGGCGATCATATCGATCTAAAATATAAATAAATTGTACATGATAAAATGTAACCTACGAAATGTCACTAAGCGATAGTATGGCTATTTCATTATATATATTTTATAAAGTAATTTTATCTCAAATATTCGTTGCCATTGTCAATATCATTATGTTTGTAGGCCTATTTAATATGTTTATTACTGAAATGAAATGTAACGTTTTCAGGGCGTGTTTGAAATATTTGATTTAATAAATTATATTGCTTCATATTAACTACAACTACAAAGCTGTATTTTATTGCCATCTATTTAAGGCCTACAATCACAATAGAAAAAATCAACCGAGCTCCTCAGCTAATGTCTGGGATTCGAAACCTACTGGTCTGAAAAACTATAACATAGATCATTGAAGTTTCCATCTAATGATGTGAATATAATTAATTCCAAATTTCAGCTTAATTGAGGAAAAAATAATGACTTTTATCGCCAGAGAAGCTCCAGAGAAGCACATGACGATGTTTACTTACGTGAGAGAACTAACCGCATTCGCTAGCCGTGCCATCAGTTATTTTTTGTAGTGTAATTTTTTTACATATTAGGCCTACTAACGTACTGTAACTGTAGTAAATAAATAAGCGTCTGGAATGGAGGTTATAAATAACCATCTGTACATGTATTTGGCATGAATTTAGTCTTCAAATATCCACAGTAAATTTAGCTCAAATATATATGTTGCTTAAGGCAGTGGTTCCCAACTTTTGTGCATTCGCGGACCTCTCTGGACAAAAGTTTTCACGAACTCAGTGTCCATATCCCAACAATAGGATTATAGATAGAAGATGATTCGCCACGAAAGTACAACATTAATCAGTGCCGGGTCATGAAATTCAAAATAGAAACAATCTAAGCCCAGCCGGCCCAACCATGGTTGGGGCTGATGTACGAATTTTGATAAATGTCGATTGCACTTCTAGATGGCCGGAAATGGCACTATCGGACTCAAAATTTAGGCCTATTTTAAATTTTGTACCTTGCTGTCTCTCCCCCCCCCCAACCCCCTCTATCTCTCTCTCCAAATGTATCAATTTGTGTTAGTGAGGCTGAGACTTTATGACGTCAAGAATCATTGGAGTATATTCAAATATAAAAGTGACAACACATTAGCATAAAGTGACTGCTATTTAGAAACTTTCTGTTTCAATCTACAGTAATATCTTCAACATGTCACAAATATGACATTTCTAAAATATAGGCCTATGTACATTAATTAGTAAATGTTGGCGCTGTTCATTTTATTTGTGGGCCTACAGTATATCATTGGCGTGCATTTCGATACTTGGAGTATGTATTATACTCATTTTATCTGAGATTAATCAGTGGACCTTTCGGTAATTAGTAAGGCCAGTAGCCTTACACAACTTATACCTAAACATAGGGCCTATAGCCTGCCATATTTCAACACAAAATTACTATTCAATTTAAGGACACAGTAAATGCATAATTAACGTTCACTAACCTACATTTATCCAATATAATTGTTTTTCGCACATAAAAAGGGGGGTGGGGGCTACAGCTCTTCCCCTTCTTCCTTTCATTCTAGCGCCGCCACTGGACTGTAGGTTTAGGGAACAGTTAAGGTTTAGGCTATAATATCCAGTGACAGATTAACGAGAGGAGGCAGCCAGCCCGGATCCTCCTAAATTTTTCAAAATTATTTTCAAAAATGGACACAAAAAAAAATTAAGTCTGAGTGCTATTTTGGGCTTCTGTTGAGGTGCCATAACCATAATTTTCTTACGTCGGCCACGATCGTGGTGGTGAGGTGGTATAGAATAAACCCTCCTTTCTGTAAAAGTCTCTCCCTCGAACCGGACAAGGATAAGATATTTGGGTCACATTACTTGGTTTTAAAAAATATTCAGTAAACTATGATGAAAGTCTGGAGTTGTCTAAGGAAAATACGGTTAATAGAGGTCATGGAAATCATGTCCTGGATGTTAAGGGTCTAGACCCAGTGATAAATTATGTAGAATTGTATATTTCCGTTTTTAATTAGGCCAAACTTCTTTTATGAGTGATCATGAATAATTGTTCTATTTTATCAAAACTAATCGCGACGTTTAACATACTAAAGCCCTGGTCATTCATAAGCGGCCATGGGCCAAACTTGGCCCTCAAGGCCCGTGAATAAAAACAAAATAATTAAACAAATATTTAAAACATGGCCTAATAAAAATTCGATGAAGACATTACAATATTGTAAAAAAAATTGCAATCCCCTGGTAATGTGCACGGAGATTGTTTGAAAATAAGCAAAATGATATACTGTAGGCCCATAAATAAATGAATAGCGCCAAAAATCGATCACTGTGTGATTTCCGCTGTCCTATTCTTCACTGTGGCTTTAAACAAGCAAAAGACGTGTTATGATGTAGAGTTTACCCCACACAAATTTAAAATAAAACCCTGTAACAGAATTATTAAAAACTCCCTAAGATTGGTATTCTTATTAGCTCAGCTAACTTCGACAAAGCAGCTAAGAGAAAGTAAAATCTTTAGATGTTAAAATTGTAAAGCTTGCAGAGTCCTGGTGGTTTGAGATCCATGGTAGAAGAAGCCCATTGTTAAATCATATTGATAAATTTGAATGTAAACACACGTGGAGGCTAATGTGAAAAAAGTGCCTATTTTTTGAGAAACAATGATTATATGTGTTTGTATACTGGTATAAATTTCACAATTTTAAGTGTCGGTCAAAGTAGGAGGTATTTTTAGTGTCAATGGTCCTGCATGTTCGAGACCCCATCATTATTGTTATAAGTCCTTTAAAAACTTTTTATATATGTAGAAGTATGAGCATATTCATCACATGTTTAATTTTAACTTCCGTGCTTAAAAGAATGATAAGATACGGCCCTCCGAAAAAGTAAAAATCTATTTTCACACAATGCTTCGGGTGGGGGTGTTGGAGCGGCATTTAACATTTTAATACAATATGCTACACAAATTTGAATAGCATTTATTGAAATAGGGGCCAAATATCAGTTGATGTAGCAATTTACAATATTTTATTTAGATATTCGAGAAGATACACAATAGCTTGGTAAAAACTATACAACGTAAAAGAAGCCAATACAGGAATGAAAACGGGGGCGTGGTACCTATATTTCTAAAGCTAACACATTAACTTAAAACCGCTTGGAAATTGAAGCTCAAATTGTTGAATCTGCCTTTTGACATATATTTTTATAATTTAAAAGAAAAATCCAATGGGGGAGGGAGTCACATGGGCATGGTGGTCGATTTGAGCTAGAATCGTGGCGTCTAGGACCCTTGAAGTGCGAGTGCTGAGTCGCGGGGGGTGGGGGTGTGCGAAGGTGAAGTGGTGGGGTGCTCGATGATTAGTTGATGGGGCGCTAACTCACAAAATACGGTGATTTTAGGTGCTTTTTAACAACTTGATTTTTAGGGGGAGCCAGGGGAAAGGGGCGCGAGTATTTTGGGAGGGGCGTGCGCCCCTTCCGCCTCCACAATATGATGTAGAAGTTAAATATGAGTCGTAATTCATGCAAATATCATGTAACGTCGTCGTTGTAACAGATAGCCTATTATTATAATTATTGTTATATTATTATTATTATTATCATATTATTACTATTATTATTATTATTATTATTATTATTATTATACCAAAATGTTTGGATTTTGACGTCGATGGTAATCACATAAAGAAAGGTATAATAGATTTTGAACAATTTTGACTCAACACAAAATAATCGGTGATTTGATTCAGTGTATCAGATTCAGTGTGTCATATTGAAACATCAAACATAGGCCGATGACATGAAAATAGTCATACAAAAAATGAAACTTACCATCATCTGCAACGCATACTTTACTCTCGGCTACTCTGGTTAAAGTTAGGGCTGTTAATATACAGTATATAGTTATCATTCTTCTATTTCAACAGTCATAAATATAAAATATAATCTGTCATCTACACACAATTACAGCGGAAAATTTCGATTATATGAGCGATGACATTCTATTGGTACTTCTTCCAGTGTGTAACTCAGTTTAAATCGATCATTCTTCTTTTTCCGGGTTTTTCAGGAAACGAGTTCCAATCCTCTATGCCATCACTTCCTTCAGGTTCGTCCTAGTTTCCGCTATCACTTCAAGTGAAGACGCCTTGTTTGTCAAATTACCATTCGTGTATGGAAATGGAATTTTTTATTTAATTTTTACGAAATATTAAAATAGAATTATTGCTTAGCATAAAATAGTTTTGATAAAAGAAAAAAAATTCCAAAGACAATTTCATCTCGGACATCAACGGGAAGTTTGTTCCAAACTGTAGGAAAATTATGAAAAAAACTGAAATTTAAAACAATTAGTACGCGAGTAAGTGTGTCAGTATGTCTAGTATTAAAATGAATACAATCTTGTCGAGGAATTGAATATAAATTATAAAGGCATTTTGCAACAAAAACCAAGCAGATTTTTTCAACAGATGTTAAGCTTGTGATAATAAGTCGTTGTGTGTAGGGCCCTTGTCATTCTGCGTTGGATTGATTCAAGAGAAGTAATAATGACCTTTTTGGTCTGCATTAAATTACAACTAAAGCATGTATAGGTGTAATTTTACCCTATTAACTATAACTAAAGGTGTAATTTTGCCCTATTATCTATAACTAAAGCGTTGTACAATTTTGGTATGATATGCGGGTCACGTACCCTAGATGCTTTGGATTTAGTGTTTGAAACGCGCAATCCCCAATCAAGTTTTGAGGTAAAAATTACACCAAGATATTTATAACTGGTTACGTTTGTAAGGTATATTTGTCCAATTTGTTAGGCCTATACATGTGGAGATCTACTTGATCTGATGATTCTCATTGTTTTGGATTTAATGGATTAAGTTCCATTTTGTTCATCAAGCTCCAGTTATAAATAATATCCAGGTCTTGCTGGAGTATTACATTATCATTGTTAGTATAATACATACTCCATGTGTCGGGATTCAATATTTCGACATTAATTATATGACATACCGTAATTAATGCACGATATTGGCGTGCATTTCGATACTTAAAGTATGTATTATACTATCTTATCTTAGATTGATCAGTGGACCTTTCGGTTTTTATCATTTTTGATTCTTATATTTCTATATATAACAGTGTCATCAGCATATTGGTAGTTTTGCATCACAATATCGTGCATAAACCACCGGCCACAGCCTCGTATGTAATCGGCACAATCGCGCAAAACATTATAGGCATATATTTCGCACTCGCAGATGCGTTTAAGAGTTATTTTTATAAATCATTAATTATTGTCATTATCACTTTAAAGTTATTGTTATTACCAATATCTTTTACAAAATCGTTATCAGTATCATTGTCACAACCAATAATATTACTTTATTATAATTATTATGAACGTTATACATACTAAAATAATAATAATAATAATAATAATAATAATAATAATGATAATAATAAGGATAATAATAATAATGATAATAAAAATGATAATGATAATAATAATTATAATAATAGGCCTAATGATAATGATAATAATAACACATGTCAATATCATTAGCAGAAGAAATATAATTAAATTGCATTGGAATCCTAGAAAGAAAACTACGTTTATAAACATCAACTCTACTAAAAGGAAAATTGAAAACAGGACAAGAACGCAAACTACGGGAATTCACATGAAGACCAAACAATTCAAATTCAAAGATTTACTGCCTTCTGTCACTATTGATTAACATTCTTCGGCCATTAGATTTATTTTACTAATCCACAGCGTTATTTAATATTGTTTAATTACACTTCTCTTGGCTGTCTCGTGTATAATAATAACATAAATTATTTTCAAGTAGATACAATGCTTTTACCAATCATATTTTCTTGTTTCTCTATAAATAAATATTATGGTAACTTGTATAATTTTTTCCTTAATATTAAGGGCAATAATACAAAAATTGTAATTAAGGGAGGATATTTGACCAGAAATAATGTCAAGGTACATATTTACAATTAAATTTGGCACCCTGTATAATGACTGTCTTCTGTCACTATTGATTGCAAATCTTCGGCCTTCGATTTACCAATCCAGCACGTTATTTAATATTGTTTAATCACATTTTGTTTGGCTGTCTCATGATTGCCCTATATGTTCCTTTCCAGGATATTAAGCCCTATCACATGACCACTATATCCTTTTGATGTCTGCTGACAATCGTTATGCTGTGGTGTTTGGCTACGTCCACTCCAGGATCACTTGTTATTGTTATTCAATGATATTAACAACGTATTTTGTCGCATTGTCATGTTTCTTGGGTCAAATTTGTAAATGTGTATGAATCCTCGTCGACCTTATTTTAACACACTCCAACATACCGTACCCATATATTATTTAAAAAATAAAATAGGCCTAACGAAGGAGTGCCGTACCGTAAGTGGTGGGGTTATTGGCCACCTTTACGATATATTAATTATCATCAGTTAGCCTTTATATATAAGCTAAAATGTGTGGTGCATGCAGTCATTTTTACATGCAGCAGAACCTATAATATGGGACACCTTCAGGATCGAAAAGTGCCCACTGATTGGGGGTGTCTCCTGCATAGGAGACATGGCCATGATGTTAAAAGATAGCTATGCAGTGGCGTAATTGTGAGGCCGTGTGTATGTCGTCGAAACCAAGATCTGAAAATAATGGGATTACAAAAAAAAATAATTTAAAAAATATGTATTGCCTGCTATTTTGAATATAGCAACTTAAGAAAAAGTAAAAAAAAAAATATTTAGAATTTATGTAAAAAGTGAAAATATGGAAAGAAAGATCAACCATGAAAAAAGAGGACAAATAAAGGTGGGTGATCCCCACAAAAGACAAAAAAAAAAAACAATGAAAAAAAAAAAAAAAAAAAAAAAACAAAACAAAACCAAGATCTAATATTTCCGAATTTTAAATAGGAAAGCCTGACCATTATCGATCTGTGTAGATTAAAAGTGACAGGTTCTAACCACACCTTATTGACATAAGTATGACCAGACGTGGATCCAGCAGGGGGGGGGGATGAGGGCCCGTTCCCCCTTCCCCCGTCGGTCAACTCGAAAAATAAATAAGAGTGGGAAAATTTGAGTTAAAGGGAGGAAAGGGGAAAAAGGAAGGACACCCGTGAGTTCAGTGGCCATCCATCAGTGAGAGAAAGGAGAGCTCAATTGTTTGCCAATTACCGTATTTACACTAACCATGGTGGGGCGGAGGTGATCGTGGCGGCGTGGACTTCATATTGAACAAGCTTAAATTATTATTTTATACAACTAACAACAATAGAAAAGCAGGCCTGCATTAAACTATTAACAATACCACGATTGCATAAATTTTCAGTACAGAATGTAAATATATGAAGTAGAATGGTGCATGTGGCGTTCATTTATTTTCAAACAAAATTTGAAAAACGATCGGTGGATTGGTGGATCCACGAGTTTGAAATAGAGGGGGACCAGGGAGGGACACTCACTAATGGAGAAGAATAGAATATTTAGGATTACGGTACCTCTAGATGGCCGGAAGTGGCACTCACACAGCTCAGACTTAAAATTTAAACATTTATGGGCCCCTTTAACTCGCCGCGGCACTGGACATAATATGATATACAGTCGATGCCTAAGGAGAGACACATTATGCTGTTATGTATCAATAAAGCCATTTTGGCTCAGGGTGCTAGATCGAAGACCATGTAGTTAGGTCTTCGGGGCCCCTAGAGGTCGGGGGCCCTGCGGACTGCCACACGAGAGTGCATAGTCGTTACGCCACTGAAGATATCCTTTTCTTCGTTTCGTGGCCGAAAGAGTTCCTTTAGTAGGCCTATGTGTCCTCTTAATAGGGGTGTCCCAAAGAAGGGGTCTACTGTATGTATAAAGTAAATGTATAGAGTTACCATTGATATATAGGCTGCATTCATCTAAACAAGAACGATAATAGAAGAAATTGAGAAAATTCAAGATCAAATGACCAATATAATATTTTCTAAACATTTCGTTGTTAGATCAGTTTTATTGTAAAATACATAAGCTAGGCAAAACATATAAGGCATGCTATAAGTATTTATACAAAATCCTACATATCTAATTAAAAAAATATATATAAAAAATATATTTCATTTCATTTCATTCGTTATTTCGAAAATTGCATATCTATATCTATAATCGGTTTAAGCATCATAATAACAACAAACAAAAATCCCTAACGACTAAACTGTAATTTCTATCGCAATAATACATATATATGAAAAAATGAGTATTGCGTATATTTAATACTTATGCATACAAAATACCACTCCATCTGTTATACATTTTAGAGTCTAAAAGCATATGTTTGCAAACACATTCAACGAGAACATTGCTACTACTCAGCATACGCTGCATAAAGCTGTAAACTGATTTTCGCATGTATTCATTAAAAGATGGGACGCCGTGGTCGACAAACATTATGCTAGCACTGCTGTTTCTAGGAACATTCAAAATTCGACGCAATGCATTGTTGTAGCATACATTAAGAGATCTAATGTTTTTTTGACGGTAATCACACCATAAAGCAGCACAATACAAATTGATACAGTATGATCGAAAGAGACAGCATTTAACATCTTTAGAGCATTTTATAAATTTACGATTAAGAGAGTTGCTTCTAATACACAAAGACCTATACTGTCTTTGAATATCAGCCTCATGACAACTATCGCATGTAAGAATGTGACCAAGATAAGAGCCTTTTTCAACATATACAAGTTCTTTACCAAAAAGTTTCGTTATGGATTTACCTTCCAATTTACACATATTATATAACTACTATTAAAATGGTATATAGCCTAAGCAATATAAAAATGTATAAACCTACAAAATCCTACTTAGGACAATCTATCTTATTGTAAGCTCCAAAAGCATTGTGTAGAATCGTTGCATAGATGAACTTTTATTTGATGTTATTCGTTTATAAAATTAGGCTTGTAGAACCTTGAGCCCGAACTTAAAACGATTAGGTCATGCAAAGTAAAATTATAGGTTTGTACAAATATATATTATTAAAATATAAGCAATAATATAACAATTGATAAAAGTACAAAATCTAATTATCACTTTACTAAGCTGCTGAATTATTGCATCTAAATTGTTGCAAACTCAGTACAAATATTTTATACAGTATATTATTGAGTTATCATTTTATCTGAACAATAATAAAGGTGGAACATTCAGCAGAAGCTGATCATTCGGGACCCTAGATATAACAACAACAAAAAACATCTTAACTACCAGTTTATTTATTTATTTATTTGTTTT